GGTGCATGAGCTCGGAGTTTCCGTGGCTCTTGACGACTGGCCAGAATCAACCAGTCGGGACCTGATTTCAGGCTGTGAGAGTGCTGACTTGGCCCAGTGTTCAAAAGCCTTTTTAAATGCCGGTTGGTTGGCTGATATTCCATGAAATACATTGAAATACTGGTTCTTTGGTTGATTGGTGACCATTGGTGAATGGGATTTCTGATAAAATTCTGATTGGTTGAGAAGGGATTTCTCAAATTTCATGCACCATGGACCATGATAATCCCAATGCATAAAGGCTTGTTTAACCTGGGACACATATCATCAACCAACGGGGGTTTTGAGCATTGCTCAGTTGGTGGGTTGCTCCCTGGCCCACCTCAGGCGCAAGGGAGCTAAATTTAACAAATATATAGATAGATTAGATTAGATTAAATTAGATTAGATTAGATTAACATTAGATTAGATTAACATTAGATTAGATTAAATTAGATTAGATTAGATTAACATTAGATTAGAGTAACATTAGATTAGATTAACATTAGATTAGATTAACATTAGATTAGAGTAACATTAGATTAGATTAACATTAGATTAGATTAACATTAGATTAGATTTAGATTAGATTAGATTAGATTAACATTAGATTAGAGTAACATTAGATTAGATTAACATTAGATTAGATTAACATTAGATTAGAGTAACATTAGATTAGATTTAGATTAGATTAGATTAGGTAGATTCGATTAGAATAGATTAGATTAGATTAGATTAAGATTAGATTAGATTTAGATTAAATTAGATTAGATTAGATTAACATTAGATTAGAGTAACATTAGATTAGATTAACATTAGATTAGAGCAACATTAGATTAGATTTAGATTAGATTAGATTAGATAGATTCGATTAGAATAGATTAGATTAGATTAGATTAAGATTAGATTAGATTTAGATTAACATTAGATTAGAGTAACATTAGATTAGATTAACATTAGATTAGATTAACATTAGATTAGAGTAACATTAGATTAGATTTAGATTAGATTTAGATTAGATTAGATTAGGTAGATTCGATTAGAATAGATTAGATTAGATTAGATTAAGATTAGATTAGATTTAGATTAGATTAACATTAGATTAGAGTAACATTAGATTAGATTAACATTAGATTAGAGTAACATTAGATTAGATTTAGATTAGATTAGATTAGATAGATTCGATTAGAATAGATTAGATTAGATTAGATTAAGATTAGATTAGATTAAATTAGATTAGATTAGATTAGATTAACATTAGATTAGAGTAACAGTAGATTAGATTAACATTAGATTAGAGTAACATTAGATTAGATTTAGATTAGATTAGATTAGATAGATTCGATTAGAATAGATTAGATTAGATTAAGATTAGATTAGATTTAGATTAGATTAGATTAGATAGATTAGATTAGAGTAAGATTAGATTAGATTTAGATTAGATTAGATTAGATTAACATTAGATTAGATTAACATTAGATTAGATTAACATTAGATTAGATTAGATTAAGATTAGATTAGATTTAGATTAGATTAGATTAGATTAGATTAACATTAGATTAGAGTAACATTAGATTAGATTAACATTAGATTAGATTAACATTAGATTAGAGTAACATTAGATTAGATTTAGATTAGATTAGATTAGGTAGATTCGATTAGAATAGATTAGATTAGATTAAGATTAGATTTAGATTAGATTAGATAGATTAGATTAGAATAGAGTAGATTAGACTAGATTAAGATTAGATTAGATTTAGATTAGATTAGATTAGATTAACATTAGATTAGATTAACATTAGATTAGATTAACATTAGATTAGATTTAGATTAGATTAGATTAGAGTAACATTAGATTAGATTAACATTAGATTAGATTAACATTAGATTAGAGTAACATTAGATTAGATTTAGATTAGATTAGATTAGATTAGGTAGATTCGATTAGAATAGATTAGATTAGATTAAGATTAGATTAGATTTAGATTAAATTAGATTAGATTAGATTAACATTAGATTAGAGTAACATTAGATTAGATTAACATTAGATTAGAGTAACATTAGATTAGATTTAGATTAGATTAGATTAGATAGATTTAGACTAGATTAGATTAACATCAGATTAGATTAACATTAGATTAGATTAACATTAGATTAGATTAAGATTAGATTAGATTTAGATTAGATTAGATTAGATAGACTAGATTAGATTAGAATATATTTAGATTAGATTAGATTAGATAGACTAGATTAGATTAGAATAGATTAGATTAGATTAAGATTAGATTAGATTTGGATTAGATTAGATTAGATTAGATTAACATTAGATTAGATTAACATTAGATTAGATTAACATTAGATTAGATTTAGATTTAGATTTAGATTAGATTAGATAGATTAGATTAGAATAGATTAGATTAGATTAGATTAAGATTAGATTAGATTTAGATTAGATTAGATTAGAATAGATTAGATTAGATTAGAATAGATTAGATTAGATTAAGATTAGACTAGATTTAGATTAGATTAGATTAGATAGACTAGATTAGATTAGAATAACATTAGATTAGAGTAACATTAGATTAGATTAACATTAGATTAGATTAGAATAGATTAGATTAGATTAAGATTAGATTAGATTTAGATTAGACTAGATTAGATAGACTAGATTAGATTAGAATATATTTAGATTAGATTAGATTAGATAGACTAGATTAGATTAGAATAGATTAGATTAGATTAGATTAGAATAGATTAGATTAGATTAGATTAGACAGATTAGAATAGATGAGATTTAGATTAGATTAGATTAGAATAGATTAGATTAGACTAGGTTAGATAGATTATAGATTAGGTAGATTAGCTAGATTAGCTAGATTAGATAGATAGATAGAATAGATAGAATAGATAGAAAGATAGAAAGATCGACAGATGGACAGATAGACAGTTAGACAGATAGACAGACAGATAGACAGATAGATAGATAGACAGTTTGATAGATAGATAGACAGACAGATAGATAGATAGGTAGGTAGATAGATAGACAGATAGATAGATAGAGGTCCCCCCCTATAGTGGCTATGTTGGTGGTGGCTGGCCCCGAGAATGTGGAAAATCAATGGGATATAGGCACAAGTGAAGATTGGATCATGGCGTTTACCAGGAATCATCATGGGAACAGTAGTGGGTTTACTCTAAGGGATAGTGGCCACTAATAAATGGAAATGTACGTGGACACAACCAAGAGCAAATGGAAACGTAACCTACAGCGCCAATTTAATGTGATATATGTGATGCAATCCCCAACCCAATGATAATAAAGGATCAAAGCAGCCACTTTGTGCAGATACTGGTGGGTGTACGGGGGATGAAATGGAACAGGAAAGCATCAGGAAAGCATCAGGAAAGTGTAGGAAATTGAACGAAAATATTGTGGTAACCCCAAGCCATAAATCGTCCCCAACTACTTGCCACAAATGGATGAGAAACTCATGGAACCATCCGCAAATGTGTCATCATTGGGCTTAATTTGCAACTCCAATGACACCACACACACATCAGCTTTCTCAAGCTGTGTTCACAGCTGGGCACGCGTCCATTTTCTATCCCAAAGCGATATGCTGCAAGCGACAAAAGGCTCGCATAGCTACGGATAGCTACAAAGGGTTTGCTGCTCGTCACCGCTAGTCCAGCAGCGAAAATCCAGTCGTGACTCCGCCTACGGTTAAGTCGTGGTGGAGTTTAATCTGTGCAAGCTACGTATAACCCATAGGATCCATGTATGGTATATATGCTAACATTGGGGGTATATTGATCGTAACTGTTACCATATATATCCATATATAGCATGCATGGATCCTATGGGTAAGGAATATGAGGAATCAAGCATAGTCAATTGAGTCCATGCCAATTCCTGCCCAACCAGTTTCAAGCCGTGAACCAAACGTCTAAATGTACGATGGTCAAGTTACATGGTGTATGGGCTATAGTCATCCCACCGTAATGAATCGGATTCTATAATCGGTGTATATATATATAATAAAATACAATATAATATAATATAATATAATATTTAATATAATATAATATAATATTTAATATAATATTAAAAAATATATTTAAAATAATATTTAAAATAATATTTAATATAATATTTAAAATAATATTCAATAAATATTAAATATAATATAATAAATATAATATTAAATATAATATTTAATAATATTCAATAAATATTTAATATAATATTTAATATAATATTTAATATAATATTTAATATAATATTTAATATAATATTTAATATAATATTTAATATAATATTTAATATAATATTTATATAATATTTAATATAATATTTAATATAATATTTAATATAATATTTAATATAATATTTAATATACTATTTAATATAATATTTAATATAATATTTAATATAATATTTAATATAATATTTAATATAATATTTAGTATAATATTTAATATAATATTTAATATAATATTTAATATAATATAATATACTATATCAATCTATAGCATACATTATCATACTATATCCATCCTTACTAGTGAGATCGAACTTCCATCATGCAGGGTCCGCCTCTTCTTTAAGAAGCAGTTTCAGAAACCCTATTGACTTTCCTGCTGACTCTCAAGTCTCTTTCGCGGCTACTTTCGCGACCCTTTCGCAACCCTTTCGGCCTGCGTTTTGACTTTCGCGAACGCAGCAGAGTCAACAATTTGCATAAACCCTTTCCTGTTTTTTGGAATCTGCTCTCTTTTGCTCACAATATAGTTGGTGGGTTATGGACAACCGTGACACCAATGGGACAGTGAAGGTACCCTCTAGTAACTTAACAGTTTGCTATGGACAATCACCATTGAGAAGTAAATCATCAAACTAAATGGGACATGGCTTCATAGTTCCTCAGATGTGAATGGTTCCCTTCTGAAACAAAATCCTCTGACAGGTTTGGCAGAAGTTGTCAACTATGTCCGACCCACTCACGCGACACGCGCATCGTCAGTTCTTTATCACCTCGCGCTGCGAATAGACTCGGAAAAGGTCCGGCTCTTGCAAATTTGAGGAATCATGGTCCAATAGCTATGGTTGCATCATGCAAATATCCATGCAACCACAATCACTTGCATCATGGATTGTTTTAATGGTTTCTGTGCAGGCCTGGCAAAAGCATGTGTTGCATATCTACTGCTCACATTGGAAAATTCTCGAGTGCATCTGTCATAACTTTATAGCTGGAAACATTTCGAATCATGTGAACTAGGGAATCATCAATAATTAGCAGCCAATCCCCAATCCCCCAAAGTAACATTCTAAACCACCAGGTACCCACCAAATATACTCCTCTTGATATCAAATGTCGCAATGGAACATCCACCAATTATAGATGACTTTTCCAGCCATAAACCTCCACCACATTTTGTCGTTTCATCCAAGCTTCTCAGTGGCCACTTCGCTGCTTTCTCGCCAAACTTCACAGGATCCTCCACCACCTGCGATTTGGAAAGTGGCAAGCCAAATATGCTGGCTGAATCATAGCAAGTCACTAGCCTGAACATATCTGAGCCTTGCAGTTGTTTGGGGACCATTCCCCGAATCCTAACCATCATTCCAGTAACATGCCCAATCAGTAGCCATGTCACAAGGTTTGCACCGCTCGTCATCTCCTTCATGTACTCAGAGCGTTTGGGTGAATTCGCAAAGACCTTGGCCCACTGCAGACAGTGAGGCAGTGATCCGTTAGTATCCCGTCATCTTTTTACTTCCCGTTACATCCCCCATGGCATAGGTCAAAACCATCAACACCCCGAAACGGATGCTTTGATACGAAAGAACAAACCGTTGCCCACAGGGTCTCCCAATTCTTCCCGGCACCAATATGGCATCATGGTGGTGGGTAATGTCTTGCCTATGCACCCAGTTTGGTGGTTTCTTTTCAATTGGGAACCCAAGTACACCACAGGATTCCTCATAAAAAAATCCCAAACATTGAGCTTTGCCGATTTTGGTGATATCAGTGATATCCCCAACATGTTTTAAAGACACCCCATACGGCCAAACCCCGGCGCCGGCTCCCCCCCACTGAGGCCAAAAAACGGCGGTTGTGGCACGGCGCCTTAGAGATCCACCTTGGCAAAACGTGGGGAAAGACTACAATTGAAATCACCAATCACTATAGTTAAATCATGTTAATAATAAAATAGTTATTGAAACCACAAAATATAGTTATATCACTATATTGTAGTTATTGAAATCACTATATATTATAGATATATTACGGTTAAATCTAACTGAATATACTGAAGTTGATATCATAGTTGAGGTCATCATTTGAATCATGGGGGTTCCTATTTTAGTAAATGCCATGACATGGAGCATTGGTTCCTAATTCCTATTGAAATATATTAATCTTGCCATAAAATATATAAAATGCAATATCCAACCCATTTTTAGAGACAAATCCAAATGGGGCACATACCAAACGACCCACTCCCGGCCTGCTGCGATCCGTTCATCAAAGAACTGCAGCAAATCCTTCATCGAAATCTGATCGATCAATGCAGCCTGCGCCGGAGTCGGAGCCACGGGTTGCAGAAATGATACCCTGAAGGGTACTCAAACATGGGAAAGCCTCCACAAATGCAGGTTTCATTGGCAAATCCATGTGTAAACAGGTGGTTTTGCATTGCCATATCATATTACCGGAGGCTACTGATACTGGAAGCTGCTTTCGATGTTCTATGCAAATGATAGTATTCTCAGTGGTAAAGAAACACATTGTTTTAGTATTTCTAGTTGATACCCTCCGGTAAACTAACATAACTATGGAAAATCACCATTTTATAGCTGGGTAAATCCACTATAAATCGCCATTTTCAATAGCTATGTTAGTCATTACCAGAGGCCTTCTGTGGAGAGAAAAGTCAGGGCCGGGCCCCGCGACGTCGCCCCGCAGGGACAGTCGCTGAATCCCGCGACCTTCGTCCACGTATCGGCCCGGCCTCTTCCTCACGCCGACGCCAGTTGTACTGAAAACCTCCCAGATGCGCGAAGAAAAATATCTGAGCTGCAACTGTGGGTCCGTCCAGTTCTTACATAGCTGGTAGCTAATGGGTTTTCATCCCCAAAATTTAGCGGTATAGCATATACCTCAAAGAAATGTATAAGGATATAGGAGGGGTAACTTACATATCCCCACTATAGTGGGATTATCATTATATATTATATTATATATATATATATTGAGTCTGATGTAAGTTAAATTAAAACAATGTTACGCCCGACCCCCGGTTTCGCCCAACATCCTCGAAGATGCCGTTCTGCCATTCAATTGGGTTCAATTGGGACGATCAAAAAGGGCATGAAGAATATACTGAATATATATAATATAATATATTATACATATGTATATATGAATATATGTATATGTATATGTATATACATATTATACCCACCCCCGTTAAACTTTACATGCAATTGGGACGATCAAGATAGGTAAATAATGGTGTATATTAGGATGGAAGTGAAGAGAGTAGGGACAGAAGTTTGTCAGGAGAGTGTGTCAGGTCTCGGGCTCCAGAGCTGTCAACAGCAAGGATTGTCAAGATTCAGAGTTGACAAGCGCAAACCGGATCGGAAGAAAATGCGAGCATTGGAAAAAGACGTCCAGACAAGCAACAAGCAACCGGAAGGTCTGTCAAGATTCAGATGTCAAGGACAAACCGGATCAAGAGAAAGTGGCATCAGACAAGGATGGCAAGAGAAAGAAATGTCAAGGAGAAAGAGTTCCAAGGGATCACACAGTCAAGGCCATGACAACCGGGCGGTCAGGCTTTGTTCCTATAGGCTTTCCCTTTTCTTTATAGGCTTTCCCCCCTTTCGAAACTTCCGTCACCCGGCTTGCCCGGGCTCTGTTGGTATTAGGGGACGTACATGGAAGTATGGTGTTTGATTGCCATGGCTGCAAAGAATACTTGGCCTGGCAAAGGTATTTAATTCTAAAAAATGCTGAGATATCACCATATTTCAACCCACAAAGGCCTTTGCAGGAGGACAGGCATAATTTGTTAGTACTTCGGCATGATCCTAACATTATAGCTTCGCAACGTGAGGCATTTTGGATCCAGTACGTATAAGCACGCCAACAATCACCAACATGGGTAGGACCCAAACAAACCGAGATAACACCCAAATACAACAAATATACACGAATATGTGTATATATATATTATAAATGTAGAGAAGTATGCCCTTTGAATTCATGGGCAAACGATGGCGTCCGGGCGTAATTCTACTAAATAGTTGTGACATTTTGTCTAAAATCAAAATTTTTACAACGCTATCTATACGAATAGCAATGCGAAACATAAGTGTAGTCAGCCGCTAGTCGTCTTATTTTTGTTGACCCGGGGTCCCCCGCCTGCAATCTCCCCAAACCAACGTCCCGTCTCCGATGCCAGGCGTTGGTCGGAGCGCAAGAGCTCCTCCTTCAAGGAAGCCTTGAAGGGAGTCAGCTGACCTCAGGGTGACGGGTAGGATTCAACATCTTCGATACGAAAAAAAGGGATGATACCACCTATAAATTAGGGGATTATAGGGGATCTGTATTTTTTTGTTGAAGTCTGTTTGCTTTTTTGGGGATGGAGGGACGCAAGAATGACAAGTGATGATTATAAGCCATGTATAAGACTGAACTAGTCTAAAACAAATCTAATTGGGCAATTTCATATGGGCTTACCATTTATTGACTGGGGTGCACATCCAAGTAAGCATCAAGCAATTGGGATGTTCTATGTAGATGTTTTATGGTTATATGTTTTATGAGGTATAGTGGATGATGTTCATCATGATATGTGAAATGATTGGTTTTTTAAGGTATAATGTCTATATAATGGAGGTAAAGCATCTAGCAATTCTGAGGGTATAATGTGGATATCATGGGGACATCATGTGCTGATTATATCACATCTATGCACACCCAATTTTAAGTGGGTGCACAACGTTGTTGTAATTGTCCACGCGAATTGTGAGGTGATGTGAAGTGATTGAAGCACATTATCCTTTATTATACAATTCATGTATATATATATATATACACATTATTAATCATTATTATATAAAAGCGACAAGCTCATCCTCTCAAGCGACTGGAGGATTGGGATCAGAATCCAAGGGTATGACTACCTGTGCAACTGAGTGGCCATCTGTGAGAGGTTCAATCCTTGGTTGCAATTTTCACTGGAAAGCAGTGCATCCAGTATCATCCAGTGACAAAAAGACGAATCATCTTTGACAAGATGTCCATTGACAAGATGTCCAAACATGCCCAAAGTCCAAACAACCCATGGCCATCCATGGCCCACATCGCTGAAGTCAGCCACAAAGAGTCGTCACGTAAAAGCATCATCTGGGTCGATGTTGGCATGCCGCGGGGGAAGCCCCCAAAAATAAGCTGTTTCACTGGTCACATCTAAGGTATTCTAAGGTAATGTTAAAGGTTTTACACCATTCTTTTCCCATGAAAATTCAGGTCTCAAACGGCACCAAGACGCTGAGCCCGAAACGACACCAAGAAATCGTCTACCGCTTGCTGCAATCCCCTGGGATCACGTACACTGCTCCTGAGGTGACGCCGTGCGCCGGTGGAAACTGGGTTCTATAGCTCTTCAGTTATTGCCATCGATAAATAGGGTGAAAATAGGGAATTGACGATAAACATCGATAAACATCGATAAACATCGATAAACATCGATAAACATCGATAAACATCGATAAACCATGAGAAACCATGAACTCCTTGTGTACCCTATTTTCACACTCACGTTGTTACCTCAAATAAGCAGCGTATTGCAAACAAGCATCTGCACGATAAGCAGAACTCGTGCAAGGTTGCCAATGCGGTCAGATTGAGATTGGACAATGTAACCTGAACACGGAGGAGATTTCACACATCCAATACACAATTCGTATCCCCAAGTGAAAACTCGGCAGGTGCTACGGGACGAGGTCGGTCCTGGAGAAATTGGAACAAATTGTGACCCACCGATGGCAGAGTACTTGTGGATGCAGAATGGATATAACATGGTATGACTATGGTAATAACCTGCGTCAAATGGGATGCTATAACCCTACAGCAGCTATGGCAGCAATGGTTTTTGTTTGGCCCACTTACTAGTGGAACTGCACCCACAAGTAAAGTATGGCAAAACTCTGCAAAAGATCAGATTCATCCCATTCAATGACTGTCGGTTATGATTTCTTCCGTTCAGTCTGCTGCCCCACTGAAGAATGCGTTCTAAAGTCAAAACTCACTGTTGCAAAATAGTCTCCCCGAATTCCAATGGATTATCACTTTATTCTATGATTTTCCCCATTCAAATGGCCATATCATAATTGGCAGAGAATCCCGAACTTTCAGAAACCCAATTCTGACGCATGTGACCCAATTGCTGCTGTGTTCGGATGCTGTCGTAGAACGGAGCCTGCCATGAAGGATGTCGCAGGCTGGCAGTGTTAAGTCTGAAGGTTGATGCCTGAAGTTGGGTTTTCATCATGTTCGAACTCAAGCTGTACCCTCTGGTAATTTATCAGTTTGCTATTGAAAATGGCCATTTATAGTGAGTTTTCTCATTAAAAGTTGTGATTTTCCATAGTTATGTTAGTTTACCAGAGGGTAGCTGTCGGATGCTGTTGGTAGCTTGATAAATATGTTTTTTTGCTGAACATGAACATGATGCAGCTATGGTATGTCGGATTATACCACAATAATAGTGCACAGATCTCACATGTCCGCCACTCCATGATGACTATAGCAAACAGCCAGAGAAGCAACTGTTGCAATTTATCCCAAGCCAATGCCACGCACTGATAAGGGGTGTCCCCTCACAGCCCGGTCCTATTCTGATGGTTTTAACACCTTGAAACCACCAGGGATCCATCGCAGGCGCAGGCCGCGCAGGCGCCTTGAGCAATCTCTCCAGGAGCTGGCTGTGCAGCGCATCAATGATTTCATCCCCGGTCCAAAACACTGAGACCAGCCTCCGAGGCGTTAGACGCCTAACATGACGCCTAACCCCCTGGAGAACTAAAATAGTTCTATGCCAAGCGGGTTAACAGATGACTATAATGGTTGAACCAATGGCTAATATCAGGATAATAAGAGTAATGGGATAATAGTAGTTTGGTTATATACTATATATGGGACTGGATTATAATGGATAATATTTCTTGATGGTTATATGATGTTATATAGCACATAACCCACTATAATAAGTCATTGACAGGGGCATTTGTCAGCTGGAATCCAACGCAAGGCTCCAGCCTTGAACCCTGAGCGGTGGCGCACTTAGAGCGCTGGGGTGGGGTGGGGCGAGATGGTAGGCATCAAATCAACCCCCCTGGAACCATTGCATTCAGTAGTCTCAAATCAATATTGATGCTAGGCTCTTAAATTTCTAATGTAACTTTGAACATGCTCTTGATGCAACTTGATGCTACGCTCTTGACTTTCTAATGTCACTTTGAACATGCTCTTGATGCATCTTGATGCTACGTTCTTGACTTTCTAATGTCACTTTGAACATGCTCTTGATGCATCTTGATGCTACGTTCTTGACTTTCTAATGTCACTTTGAACATGCTCTTGATGCATCTTGATGTTACGCTCTTGACTTTCTAATGTCACTTTGAACATGCATCTTGATGCATCTTGATGCTACGTTCTTGACTTTCTAATGTCACTTTGAACATGCTCTTGATGCATCTTGATGCTACGCTCTTGACTTTCTAATGTCACTTTGAACATGCTCTTGATGCATCTTGATGCTACGTTCTTGACTTTCTAATGTCACTTTGAACAAGCTCTTGATGCATCTTGATGCTACGTTCTTGACTTTCTAATGTCACTTTGAACATGCTCTTGATGCATCTTGATGCTACGTTCTTGACTTTCTAGTGTCACTTTGAACATGCTCTTCATGCATCTTGATGCTACGTTCTTGACTTTCTAATGTCACTTTGAACATGCTCTTGATGCATCTTGATGCTACGTTCTTGACTTTCTAATGTCACTTTGAACATGCTCTTGATGCATCTTGATGCTACGTTCTTGACTTTTTCATCAACATGCTCTTGATGCTAAGCTCTTGACTTTCTAATGTCACTTTGAACATGCTCTTGATGCATCTTGATGCTACGTTCTTGACTTTCTAATGTCACTTTGAACATGCTCTTGATGCATCTTGATGCTACGCTCTTGACTTTCTAATGTCACTTTGAACATGCTCTTGATGCATCTTGATGCTACGTTCTTGACTTTCTAATGTCACTTTGAACATGCTCTTGATGCATCTTGATGCTACGCTCTTGACTTTCTAATGTCACTTTGAACATGCTCTTGATGCATCTTGATGCTACGTTCTTGACTTTCTAATGTCACTTTGAACATGCTCTTGATGCATCTTGATGCTACGTTCTTGACTTTCTAATGTCACTTTGAACATGCTCTTGATGCATCTTGATGCTACGCTCTTGACTTTCTAATGTCACTTTGAACATGCTCTTGATGCATCTTGATGCTACGCTCTTGACTTTCTAATGTCACTTTGAACATGCTCTTGATGCATCTTGATGCTACGTTCTTGACTTTCTAATGTCACTTTGAACATGCTCTTGATGCATCTTGATGCTACGTTCTTGACTTTCTCATCAACATGCTCTTGATGCTACGCTCTTGACTTTCTAATGTCACTTTGAACATGCTCTTGATGCATCTTGATGCTACGTTCTTGACTTTCTCATCAACATGCTCTTGATGCTACGCTCTGACTTTCTAATGTCACTTTGAACATGCTCTTGATGCATCTTGATGCTACGTTCTTGACTTTCTCATCAACATGCTCTTGATGCTACGTTCTTGACTTTCTAATTTCACTTTGAACATGCTCTTGATGCATCTTGATGCTACGTTCTTGACTTTCTCATCAACATGCTCTTGATGCTACGCTCTTGACTTTCAAATGTCACTTTGAACATGCTCTTGATGCATCTTGATGCTACGTTCTTGACTTTCTCATCAACATGCTCTTGATGCTACGCTCTTGACTTTCAAATGTCACTTTGAACATGCTCTTCATGCATCTTGATGCTACGTTCTTGACTTTCTCATCAACATGGTCTTGATGCTACGCTCTTGACTTTCTAATGTCACTTTGAACATGCTCTTGATGCATCTTGATGCTACGTTCTTGACTTTCTCATCAACATGCTCTTGATGCTACGTTCTTGACTTTCTAATGTCACTTTGAACATGCTCTTGATGCATCTTGATGCTACGTTCTTGACTTTCTCATCAACATGCTCTTGATGCTACGCTCTTGACTTTCAAATGTCACTTTGAACATGCTCTTGATGCATCTTGATGCTACGTTCTTGACTTTCTCATCAACATGCTCTTGATGCCACGCTCTTGACTTTCAAATGTCACTTTGAACATGCTCTTGATGCATCTTGATGCTACGTTCTTGACTTTCTCATCAACATGCTCTTGATGCTACGCTCTTGACTTTCTAATGTCACTTTTGAACATGCTCTTGATGCGTCTTGATTCTACGTTCTTGACTTTCTCATCAACATGCTCTTGATGCTACGCTCTTGACTTTCTAATGTCACTTTTGAACATGCTCTTGATGCGTCTTGATGCTATGATCTTCAATGTTTTATGTAACTTCCAACACGCTCTTGATATCTCTTGATGCATCTTGGTTTTACGCTCTTGACTTTCTCATGTATCTTCCAACACGCTTTTGGTGCTACGCTCTCAGCTTTCCAATGTCACTTTGAACATGCTCTTGATGCGTCTTGATGCTACGTTCTTGATAAAAACCTTTTATCGCATAGAAAGCACGGCATCTGCCATGCACCATGGATCTATGTATTTGTGCATGTCTGAACATGAAGCAAATCAAGTGCAGCGAGTGCTCGTCCAGATCAGCCAAGGCCCCAGAATTGACCCGAGGGCCCTAGGTACTTTCAAATAGCTGGTGAATGGATGGTTACTCGGTCACTCCCCAAAGATGGTAATAACAGGTCTTGACCTATCGCCATATGTGATTTCTATCAATGTAATATAGATACAGTATCCATCCTAGGGAGTAAACCAGTAAGGTCAGACCCTTGTGACCAGGTATGACTAGGTCCACCAGAACAAGCCGAGCTACGCATGGTTTGTCTCCTCTGGATTAGGCTCGGGCTGAACTTGCAACACATCCTGCGGCAACATCTCGGGCTGTTGCCCAAAAGGATATCCATGGCTCTCTTGAAAGTCTTGAAAAGGGGCTTCATGGAGGGGTTTTGCCATGACACTTTCAATAATGTCATTGTTCTTTTCTCATGACTTAGACTTTCAAAAATAGCAGCAAGCTGATTGCGCGTCTGACCTCAAAAAAGCTGCTTAAAACTTCACAGAGTCCACACCTGTCCAGGGTCCAACTTCACGAAACGCGATCGCAGAAGGCCGCCGGCAGTGCCACTCTTCAATGCTCCTGCAAGATCTCGGGGATCTCGCGGGGGTGCCCAAGCCCTACCCAAAAAGTATATAATACTTGAGGTATTATGTACTTTTTGGGTAGGGCTTTAATTATATATATATATACATACATATTATATGTGTGTCCTATTTCATGGCCTGGGGAATCAATGACTTGCATAAAAACTAACTGGTTCCAGTGAATCCAGCAATGCAGCTTTCTCAACAGCACCTCGAAACGGCAGCACGTCCAGGGTCTTTAAAATGCCCTGGGCCGTGGGAACGTCCACGTTTCCGATGATCAGGGCCTCACACTATTTGGCTGAAGAGTCATGTAAGTAAAAACATGGAAAAACGATGATGATGATGATGATGATGATTGTTTTTGGTTTTCCAAAATGTTGTAGCAGCTAAAATGGAAGCGTTCCTAGCAAGAATGGTGGTTTCAATGGTGAAAGGAGGCTCAACCTATCTGCAAAAATGGATTGTTGGTATGAAATCATCAGCACATCTGCACAAATACTGGAGCAACAACAAAACATGTTTGAAACCGCCAAATGAGTATGGGCATCAGCCATCCCACAACATCATTTCCAATGCCCCACAATTCCCCACATGATCATCCCACTCAAAATCCCTGGCATCACATGGGAGCAATGACCCAAGGGACCACAAATGAAATGGTCAATTGTTTGGTTCATAAACCCACTTAATTACCCCCCTTCAAATGGTTTATCATCTTTCCCTGCAATTACATTGGATCATTTCCTATTCTTGATGGCTAGACAGCTCAGGTTTCAAGGTCAAAATCATTTAAAATCATTTAACAACATTTAAACTCATTAAAAATCATTCAAACATATTCAAAATCCCTAATTAATTATGATGGTTAAATCGTGTTAAATCCCACATTCTGACATCCTTGACCTCCCACCTGGCCAAAGAAGGTCTGCTCCTTGGAACGCAGCAGTTCCGAGAACTTCCTCACCGCTTCCCGGGTGACCTTGGCCGTTGCCGCCCGTAAGGACTCCACGGTGTACTCCGGGTCGAAGGTCGCCAGGCGGGAAAAATAGGCGGCATGGGCGTAGGGCTGTTGAAAGTCGAAGGAGGCCTGAGTGCTAGACTCCTGGACCAGTGCTGGATATAGATTGGAAGTTTTCTTGTTAGGTTGTAGATGTTTTTGCAATGCTTCGGGGTACTGTGATTTTGGGAAGTTCGGCCGTTGATATCTGTGGTGTTTTAAAGGATGTTGATGTTGATGCTGATGATCAACTCCTGATGGAATGAACTTACCCAGCTCACTTGATATACAAGGTACAATATAGATATGCTGCTATCACAAAGCTGTTTTCCAAACACCCTATCCGATTCCTCATATCACAAGGGCATCCAAGTGCATACCTGCATGATATTGCCATTAGTAAACCAATTATGCATCAAATTCTTCCCAACATTTTCCAAGCCCTGACATCATTAGACCACGTCACCTGTTCTCGTTTCAGGCCGTCCAAAGCTCGAGCGAATTCGCTCTCCGTGGGCCCATCAAAGTTCTTGATCTTTTCCAGCACCTCTTCCACGAAGAGTAGCAGCTTATCCTCGGTGGAGCTCCACTTGGATGAAGATTCATGGCCTTTCGGAATCTAGGATCTCGGCAATCCACTGTCCTTGAATCTTGGCAGTCAAAAACACAGGGATGACACAAGTAGGCCCTTTCAACAGGAAAAAAGGGCTGAATACACTGCATTCTCTCTCAGGAAACTTAGATTCTTTCTGTTTCCTTTTGAATCTGAATAGATGCTCAATGATTTTCAGGAAAACTATGGAAAACTTCAGACATGTCTCATTTCCATTAATTTCCAACTTTTCCCACAATTTCCCATCCCATTTTTCCATCGCCAAAGCCGCGCTGTAGCCGCTGAAGGACACCGAGATGCCCGCCACGGTGGAGGCACAGTTGGCCGCCAGCCCAGCCAAGCGCGCCGCGTAGTAGTCCTCTGTGAGGCGATCCTCGGGCCATCCGTGGCCATGGCGGAGCTTTGTGGAAGAGTTTTCTCATGGAAAAACGACGTTTAAAAAAAACAAACACGAGAAAGTATGGATTGAAAATAGAATATCTAAGGGTTTTGAATGGGAACATATGGGATTTGATTTTTTTTAAAAAATGAAACATATTGGAAATGTGATGATTTTGATTGGGACTTCATTGGAGAAATATGGTGAACATATGTGATATATGGGGATATACGATGATTTACGGGGGTATAGACCAACAAAATTGCCACTTTAATGACAAGACTGGAGCGTATGGAGATACAACAAACAAAGTGCCCAACATGGATTTTATTGGGATACAATGTATTTAAGGGTGTATGGGGTGGGGATATTTCACCTTGGCCGGAAACTCATTGGGGTTTTTGTTGGGGTATCATCGACGAATGAACAAATTTTGTTCGCTGTGGGTCTGATCATTTTAGGATCTTGAACTATCCATTTGAAGAAGTGCACTAAGTCACTAACCCATATTGACCCATCATTTCTCTTGGATGTTGGGTTGTTGGTTTCATGGATGACAAAAAATCGCAAGTTTTACTCCATCATGGTATTAATGAAAATCCAGTTCTAGCACATACATGCATTCACCATGTTCAAGTAACTTCTGCAAATCCGTTTAGTAAAGTTATACCCCTGTTATTCGTCATGTTTAATTATGAAATCAGGTGCTATTACCCTACCTACTTTCTTGGGGGATGATTATAAGCCATAATGGCGGTACCATGGGGTAGCTATGAACCAAGCTATGAACCAACCACGGCCCGGGGCGACAACGGGCGACATTGTCGACAAAGCTCTGCCAGCGAAGACTGCCAAAGTCTCGCCAGAACTCGGCCTTCGGCCGTGCTGATGCTGGAGGCTGGAGTCGTGGCATCCACAATTTCCGTCGGATCAGGGAACCAGCACTGCAGAATAAAAGTTGCCTGCGCAGGTCAGGTCGACAGGTCAAGTCATCTACTGTCGCCAAATAGCAATTGATTGGTGCAAGACACGAAAGTGCGATTGTTCTGCTGTGAATGTGCAGGTTTTCGTGCCATTTTTTTTCAATAACTTTGGTCCACAATGCCGCAAACCATCCAAGTATCAACCATTGGCAAATTACTCCATGGGTTTGTCTGAAAATCACCCGACCAAAAAAAAAAATGCCTTTATTGTTTCAAAATTGCCATTTGATGATCATCAAATGATTTCCAGGTTTTTATCCATGATTCATGGATGAAACCGGCTGTTGATGGTCAAATCTGGTATTTTTCCCCATGGTAAAAGCCAGGTATTTTCCCCATGGTGAACACCCACCATCCTAACACGGTGCCTTGGGCACGCCAAATGCTCGGTCGGCCTTAAAGAAGACCCTCCAGCGCTCCTCGGCATGCGATGTTCCATGGCAAAGTGTTAAATTTTTCGGAGAGGATAAGCTAGCGAGATTGATATCCAAGAAAACATCCACTCGCCTGATTACAAAGCAGCAAGCGCGCAACTTAGCAAGTACTCTATAAATCAACTATAATCAACTATAACGCCCCCATCTCTTTGTTGTTTCAATCCTGATTGCTGATGCATCCCTAAACATCTTTGCTAGTATCCTCAAGGACCCACATGTAAGCCATTGTGGTTGAATCCCAATATATCATATATATATATATATATATATCATATATATATATATATCTCATATATATATATATATATCAAATATATATATATATATATCATATATATATATCATATATATATATCATATATATATATATCACATATATATAAATAAATCAAATATATATATATATATATATCTCACATATATATTTATATCACATATATAAATATATATATACCATTTATATATATATAAATATCTATCAACATATATATATATATATATCATATATATTTAAATCATATATATATATATCAATATATTAAACATATATATATATATAAAACATATATATATAAAACATATATATATATATCTCATATATATATATAACAATATATATATATATATATCATATATATATATCATATATATATATATATCATATATATATATATCATATATATATAATATATATATCATATATATATGATATATATATATATATGATATATAGATATATTGATATATATATATATATTGATTTATATATATATATATATATATTGATATATATATATATTGATATATATATATATATATTGATATATATATATATATGATATATATATATATTGATATATATATATATTTATTGATATATATATATATTGATATATATATATATATTGATATATATATATATATGTGGAGGGGGCCTTTATGTATAGAATGACGGGGTTCTGAAACCACAATTCTGGCACCTGCAGCTCACTTTTTTTGGGCCGCTTACACTCGCACACTTGTGTATCAAATATACACAACCCTTCTGCAAGCCGGGCTCTTCGGCAAAATCAGTCACCCATGAGGCAACCATAGGCAACCTCAGAAGCGGTAACTCATGAGAAATTTGTGCGTGTGTGTCTTTACTTCTTCCCCTGACCTTTACAGAGATTTGTGCAAATAGTGCGAGTTTGCGTTCGAGCATGTTTGCGTTTACAGACTGTCCTCTCGAATATGAGTTTTGGTTGGATGAGGTACATGTGTCGTATTTTTCCAAAATTGACCATACCATATGCCATACGTGGGATACAAGTTTTGCACTTGAAGGTTATTGTTGAACGTAAAACATCAGCAGGGTATCTTTGACAACCACTAGCACAACAAAGAATGCATGCAAAAACCAAACAGAAAACCCTCAAAAAACAAACCGGTGGATCCACCGCAAACTGTTTAGGATATATAGTAAGAACCACAGCCCCGTTTGGGTGTGAAATATCGATCCTTTCCTTGCACAGCCCAGGAACCTACAGGTAGGTGAGGTTGTGCTTGAAAGCGCATTTGTCGCCACGATTGCAATGTCCCGCGTGCCGCAACAGAACACATCCGGCCACTATAGTACACACAGTTATTATAGAAGATATTCGGGAATTGTCGGAAAGGGGATCTTCTATACTATCTGGGTGGGAAAACCCGAATGATATAGAAGATAAGTATTTCAGAGACCCAAAATGGAAGGTTTTGCATTTAAAGATGGTCTGTGTGCAAGACATTTGGGGTCCTAAAGTTCAAAGAAATCCAAATGAGGTAACAAAGGGTTTCTATATCTACATTTAGACAAAGATCCCATGTTTCATGGTACAACCACCAAAATACTAATTATCGCCAATATCATCCCCTTTAACCCACATGTGATTCCCAATGTCAAATCCCTATTCAACCGGTTTGAGAACTCAAAAGTTCAAAAGGTTTTGAATTTAAAAGGAATCTTGGGGTCTACTGCCATCCCATTTTGTCAAACAATACACTGAAAAAGGGATCATAACTCATAACAGTTCAACAGTCAATGGAAAATTTGTGTTCTTGAAGGTTAGCTGAATGTCATCATCTGATGGTGATTTCAGGAGAGCGTTGACATCTGGTCCATCGTCTCCATCCATGGTAATGAAGCTTCAAGCGCCCCAGGGACAGTGACCAAAGACACACGGTTCAATTTGAGATCTCAAAACCCTGAGGTACCAATGATGATGGCCCTAATCCCTAGGCCCTAGGCATTTGGAAAACACTGGCCTACTGACCCCAAATTAAATGGTAGGTGAAATAGTATTTTTTTTTACATCTCCACTTCACATTTTGATGACATAGAGTTAGATGGGTTTCACTGGAAACCCATCTAAATCCCTGGTCTGAACCCCTTTTCCATCTACCTAACCCTCATGTTTTTTTTGAGGAGTTAGATGGCCCCCCCCATAACATGGCACTTTAGATGGGTTTCGATCGAAACCTACCTATTAATCCAAAGTTCAAATTTGGAATCGGAAGATCTAAAAAATGGCACTCAAATGGAAGATCTCCCGGGATTTCTAAAATGGCCCCCCACACACACACATGATCACCCTTCCTTCCTCCGAACCCTCCGGTCCATTGCAAAAGTCATAGCAAATGCGTTTGCCTTTGCCTCGGCCCTTCTTCGAAGTCGTGCTGAACAGGGTTTGGTTGCTATGCGACCGGGCCTTGCTTGGAGAAAACGGTGATCAACCATCGGATTTGGTGGTTACAAGTCTTAATACAATTGTATGTAAAGACATCGATTGAGAAGGTCCAACGATTATTAGAGTTGTAAGTTCCTGGGAATGAACCCATTCAATGGAAATTTCAATGGAATCTCATAGGTGTTCATGGGATATGGCTCACCAACCGTGTGACTTGATCCATTTCAAATCTACAGTATTTGGGGATTTTGAACATCACTTTCAAGTATTCGTTGGAGATTATATCACCAATAGTTGGGTAATGTGAAATTAATAATCAATTATAGGACATTTACCAACCCCTGTTGAATTGGACTTACCATCCAGTCAACTCGCATAGCGATGGATGCTATGGCCCATATAGTTCCATGATTCACATTGATTTACTCCTTCAAACTAGTGATATTCTATAGCGTTTAAATTTTTACCCGAAGGTAACGAGAGTCTACTTGGGATATAATGAGATTATATCTATACAACAGAATCTGTAAGCAACATCAGACATAACTAGTTGGGTGTCTGAACATGCTGGATTTACGATAAACGATAAGGCTTTGATATGATTTGATCAGAGATTATTGGGGATAGTAATGGGGTATGTATGTAGCCAACACCATGACATTTGTGTGCCCGAGAATGGGAAAGTACCTCATTCTTTAAAAATGCTGACACTTTGATAGGGGAGATTATGATAAACCATGTGATTCGGAGGTACCCTTGTTTCAGACAAACACAAAAACCCAAACATGGCTTGCTGGAAAAGCCCCCATTTAGTTCGATTATGTTCCGAGCTAGAAGTCTCCATTTATTGGGGATTTTCCAGCTCGCCATGATAGCTTATCACCGTTTTGCACTCCCCTCCCCGGATGCTGCGACAAGGCTCTGGGGAGCGAGAGCGAAACTGCTGGCGTCGGTTTTCATTCTGCAACCTGCAACCAATCGAAACAATCGCTTTTCTTGATGGAAGAGGAGATTTGATTTCTAACCTCGAAAAATCCACTTGTCCGTCTAAAATCGGGTATCTCTCATGACAGGTTACGGTGAATCAATTGCATTTTCTTCCCCCAGCCTGCTTGCTATCATTAAAAATTTGAAAATTGACAAGCTGAGGGGTCACTCAGCGGTAGAAATGTATCAACTATTAGTTTGGGCCTTGAAATGCGGTTTTCACATGTTCCACAATGCGGTCTAATGCTGTGACTTCTGCTAAATGTGCGAGCAGCACCTAAAGAGCAAGTAGTCTCTGTCCGGCTCCCGCTTGGCATCGAAGCTTGCTGGAACATCTGGCTGATCCTCATCGGCCTCAAACAATTTGGAGGATTTCCCCAGGATCAATTTACATGTTTGAGGAGAAGGTTCTTCCACAAAACAGCTACCTTCAAACATGTTAGTTACCTTTAGGAAAGTCTTACCGTCTCAATATAATATGACATCATTCAGATGAGGCCCCCTAAATTTAGGTTACATTTTTGAAGGTACCTGTTTTGTAAGGTTTTGCCTAATAAAAATGGACAGCTAATCCCCTATGTCTATGGCATATGGTCACAATTTGCCTGACCTATATCCCTCCACAAACCCAAATATATTAAGCAAGTTACGTGCGTCAACCTAGCTATCGGGGCCCCACCTGGTAGAAAAATATAGGGTCTTCAATTGATAGAAGGCTGATATATTCCATCAATGGGTCTATTCCATCAAAGTATCATTGAACCTTCATTTTTTTCCCATGAATATCCCATTAAATCACTATAAAATCCCTCTGAGTGTCCATGAAAGTCCCATTTAACCATGGGTGGACAAACGTTTTTTTGAGAGTGTCTGGCGCCAACCCAGCCAGCAGCATAGCAACTTCGGGGAAATGCAGATAGAGATGGATGCAAATGGGCTCCGAAAATCCGATAGGTACCCTGGGGTACATGTGCAAAAAGATATGGACAACTCATGTGTTTTGTAGGAAATGATCCATAAATAATCTATAAATTAGGTGGATGTTCTAATCTATGTCAATTAACTGGAAGGAAATTAGACCAAGGATGGACCAAAAATCCTGGCTGGCTGAGTTTGAATTTGGACCCACAGCCACATGGAGGTTTGGTAGTGCACCTATCTGGCAGTCTGGTCACTCTAGTCCATTCAAGCTGCAAACATCAACACCGAAGCAATCACTCCGTACGGAAATTCCAGCTCCGATTCAAGTCTAAGTGGCCAGATGCTCCTGATCCTGTGTGATCAGTT